TTTAGCCGACATTAGGGCTCCAATCCCTGAGTTGAGCGATTTTTCCTTTAGCTGACATTAGGGCTCCAATCCCTGAGTTGAGCAATTTTTCCTTTACCAATATTAGGGCTCCAATCCCTGAGTTGAGCGATTTTTCCTTTAGCCGACATTAGGGTTCCAATCCCTGAGTCGAGCAAGTATCCTTTTAGCCGACATTAGGGCTCCAATCCCTGAGTTGAGCGATTTTTCCTTTAGCCGACATTAGGGTTCCAATCCCTGAGTCGAGCAAGTTTTCTTTACCAATATTAGGGATCCAATCCCTAAGTTGAGATTTTAGACATAGGGCCTCCATTCCCTAGTCACCTTTAGCCGACATTAGGGCTCCAATCCCTGAGTTGAGTGAATTTTCTTTTAGCCGACATTAGGGCTCCAATTCCTAAGTTGAACAATTTACTTTAGCTGACATTAGGTCTCCAATCCCTGAGTCGAGCAAGTATCCTTTTAGCCGACATTAGGGCTCCAATCCTTGAGTTGAGCGATTTTCTTTTAGCCGACATTAGGGCTCCAATCCTTGAGTTGAGCGATTTTCTTTTAGCCGACATTAGGGCTCCAATCCCTGAGTTGAACGTTTTGCCTTTTGCAAACATTAGGGCTCCAATCCCTGAGTTGCGCCTTTTAGACTTGAGGTTTCCAATCCCCTCATCAATTCTATAGATTTTTATGGCAATTAACTCGCGAAATTTTCCTAGTAAAACTGGGGTAGAAAAATTTCGTTTGTTTGTTTGTTTTGTTGTCTGAGCAGGTTTGACCCCGAAGCACAGGGATCGAGATGACCTACAGAGTGAGTCTCAATCCAGAATAAAGAAAGGAATGAAAGAACAAAAGAAGATAAGCCCAAATACTGGAGCAAACAAAGTGCAGATCGCTCAAAATCTGATTGAAGTTACGAGCTCCGCCAATCCCGCTTCACTCATGTAAGCACATGATTTTTGCCCTATGAAAGAATCACTCCCAAAAAAAATTCAAAATAAAAATGATTTTCCTTTGTGTGCAATTTTTTGAGAATTTTTGTGGCATTTTAGGATAATTATTTGTATCTGTCCATGCATGATTATTTGTTAAGTTAATAAAAAATACAAAAAATATGTCGCATTTGCATTTAGGATTTAATCCTACAATTAGAAGTAATTAAGTTTGTTTTACAAGAATAAAAATTACAAAAATATGCATCGTTTGCATTTTTAGCATTCAATGTCAAAATTGTGCAATTTTGTTTTAATTGGTGTTTAATTATGTATGATAAATGTTGCTAGGAATTAGTTAGTATTTTTGATAAGTTAATTTAGTTTATAACTTAATTTAGAATTTTAATTTTAGAAATAAATTAGTTTATAACTTAATTTAGAATTTTAATTTTAGAAAAATAAAAGAAAAGAAAGAAAAAAATAAAGGAAATCGTAATTGGGCCACCCTAGTTGGACCCAAATCCAGGCCCAAAACAACCCCCCAGATCCGGTCCAATTTGGTCAAGCTTTGAGACGCCTCAAACGGCGTCGTATTGGCCCTTTTAATCGGAGCCGTTGGATTAAATCAATCCAACGGCCAGGATTTCATCTCCCTACCCATTCCAAACCCGACCCATTACCCGGTTCGAACCGACCCCCCAACCAAGGCCAGACGACACCGTTTCATTAAGTGAAAGATCCTGGCCATCGATCTTACTTTATCCAACGGCCAAGATCAAACCACCCCTTACGTATATAAGCCTAACCCCTTCACCCCACGCCCCCAAACCCAACCCCTCCTCACCTACTATTCACCATCGTCTCAGAGACGAACCTAACATCCTGTTCCAAACCCTAGCCTCCACCCTGCACTCTCACTGTAAACCCGGCAACCACGATGCCGGTGACCACCAAAATAACACCCCTGATGCACCCAACCACCCTGAACACGAATCTGTTAGCATCTTGCCTCGAATCATTCCCCATCGTCTCGAATCTTAGTTTGAAGGTTCGAGCAAAACCCTGATCTACACCAACCCAACCCAGATTCACACCGGTCACTGCCATGGCCTCACTCGTGACCAAACCAAGTTTGGTTTGGTCCGAATCTACCCAGAAACCCTCAAGCCCCAAATCAGACTGTGTAAACCCTAGAACACAAAGCTTTGGAAATTCGGCCAGTTTAAACGGAGGGTTGGGGTCTAATAGACCTTAATCGAGGTGTTCTTGGTTGAGAACACTTCGATTAAAGTCCGTTCAACCTCAAATGGTCAAATCCAGTTCAAGCCTGGGTCGTTTGTTGTTGAGCTTACAAAGTAAGTTTTCTTTTTCCTTTCTGTCTTTGTTTGAATGCGGTTTGTGTTTGTTAACATGTTTAGTTGGTTTGTTGATTTTACTGATATTTTCTTTCAATCTTCTCCATCTTCGTAAGACCTTTTTATCTGGTCGACTATTCTTCTGTCCATTGTCAAATACGTGTGGTAAGATACGTACTCGATTTGATTAATATCGTCGAGTGTTTCATTCATGTTGTTCCCCTGTTTTGTGCAAAGCTGCTTGAAGTCATTTGGTGCCCTATTCGTTTCATTTGTTTATCGACTGATTGTTCTATGTTATAGCTAGTATAGTCGATTGGATACACGTCGTCGATTAGTTTTATAGGTTTGAATGTTCTGATAGCCTCACATGATTGATCAAACCATTGTAATTTAGCTGATTGTTTGAATTTATCTGTGAATGGTTTGTAGCTGCAGTGCAATTAGGAACATAGCTAGAACACAGTCTGGGGCAGTTGTAGAGTATGAACTTCCATAAGTTCAAATTTCAGTTTGCTGAAGCTTAGGGTAAAACAGTAGTACACAGGGGTTAAAGGGGTAGTTTGGGGTTTGAAATGATCAGAAAGTGGTTAGTTTAAGTGGGCTGACAGTAGGGTATTAAAATACCATCAAACTAATATATTGTTTAAGGATAGTGGGGAACAAAATTTAATGGCATTGGGAGAGTTTTTTAGAGAGGATTATTTTTGGAGAGAGGAAGACATTCTGAAAATCCTAAGAGAGTGTTGGAGAGTTTAAAAAGAGAAAACAAAAAAACAAAGTGAGAGAGGAGTTTAGTTTCGGGTTTAATACACGCGTGGTTGAGTCTGTTTGTGGTGATGTGGGTTGTTGCTGCTTAGTCTTTTACAAACTTTTGGGTTTGTTCTATTGAGCTTGTTTGGTTTTTCTTCAAATTTTCCCGGGCCTCGAATCTGGTATGAATTGCTGCTGTTGGGTTGTTGTTGCATCGCTGTGTCATTACTGTTGCTGACTCCTCCTTCTTTTCTTCTTGTACTTCCATTTCCAGGTACATGTCCTGAATCTCAAACCATGTAGCTGTCCATTTGAAAAATGAAATGAAAAAATGGAGATATAACTTCATTGAAAGCTTTAGTTCTTGCCGTATTTTATCATAATGGATTGTAGTGGTTTGGAATGTGATTAAAATTGTTTTACAACGATTTAGATTGGTTCGGACTGTCAAACTCATGGACTGTTCGGGACATTTGATAGTTTGTTAAGACATGTGGTAATTTAATTTCATTTAGTGTAGTTAAGCTTTAAAAATCAGAAGTTATTCAAAACATAAAGCGATCTTGTGATTCACAGTCCTCACTCGTCCTAATAATCGGCAGTGCAATCCCGGAGCCATACTATTTTGTACTTAGTAATGACAATTGTGAGTTAGTTCAAAACTGGAGGTATAATTTGACTGTTGGATTTGCTTAACACTAATTAGCCTAGAATAGTTTTGTTGATTAACTCTGTTAAAGGAAAAAAGTTTGGAAATTGATTCTGGACTTGCATTTGTTGATAATTGGATATTTGAATGATTGTGGATAATTAGTTAGGGTTAATTGCAACATGAGTTAGGAAGTATTATTAACTAGGATTCCTCCCTTTATTTTAGAAATAAACTTAATAGAAAAAATGTAGTCACTGTAGGTTTATCCTTTTAAATAAAAATGAGACGAATCTCGCCAAATAAAACGCACAGATTGCGGGGCCCTCACAAAAATGTATGTGTTAATTACTTAGAACTCGGGATCGGCCGCTTAGCGAACTCCACGGCCTTACCCAAAATAATAATACGCTAATCGCTTTAGACGCGCATTTTAATAATCTTACCTTCTTAAACTCGGGTGTGCATTTCATGCGACCCAAATCCAAATCCCAAAACACTGAATAAAAATGTGTTCCGGATTGCGGGTGCATTTCATGTGACGCAATCCAAAGACATGTTTTTAAACGATGTTCACATTCTTTTAAAATATAATAATAAAAGCGGTAAAGAGTTAAAACTTGCACATGAGCTCATAATTGTATAAAATCAGATAAACAAGCCGAATATGACAGTTGAGCGACCGTGCTAGAACCACGGAACTCGGGAATGCCTAACACCTTCTCCCGGGTTAACAGAATTCCTTATCCGGATTTCTGGTTCGCGGACTGTAATACAGAGTCATTCTTTTCCTCGATTCGGGATTAAATTGGTGACTTGGGACACCCTAAATCTCCCAAGTGGCGACTCTGAAATAAATAAACAAATCCCGTTTCGATTGTCCTTTAATTGGAAAAACTCCTTCACCCCATGAGGGGACGGAAAAAGGAGGTGTGACAACTCAATGCTGCAAAAATAAACAAGCACCGACAACTTGCAAGCATCAAGATTCAGATCGAAGTCTACAAGTAGAATCAACTAAGACTCAAGATCAAGTTGCAAAAGAATTATAGATAGGAATCTTGTAACTAGTAGTTGATAGGCATAACTAGCTTAATTTTAATTCTCTTTTGGTTTAATAAGGAGGTCGGTAAAGCAGTAGTAACAACATGCAACAACAGTAACAACAACATTACAGTCCCATGGTAGTCCCAGCTACTAAAACTTCCCGAACTACATTGACCTGATTCCTGTTTAGCCCAGGATATGTAGGAAACCTTTGAAGCAAAGGTTCGGTCAAATCTCTTCCAAAAAAATGCTTCACACGGAGTACTCGGATGGGCAAAAATCGCTCACTTTATCTTTGCACGAAACTCTTCGTATTTTCGGACAAAGAGGGGCAACTGTAAGTACGTGATTTTTTCCCTATATGAGAATTACTCCCAAAAAATCCAAAATAAAATAATTTTTCTTTGTGTGTAATTTTTGAATTTTCGTGGCAGTTTTGGATAATTATTTGTATTTTTTGTCTGTGCATGTTTATTTGTTATATTAGTAAAAAATATAAAAATATGTCGCATTTGCATTTAATATTTAATTCTACAGTTAGGAGTAATTAAGTTTGTTTTACAAAATGAAAAAAAAAATCATAAAAATATGTATTTTGCATTTTTAGCATTTAACGTCCAAATTGAGTGATTTTATCGTTAATTGCTATTTAATTGTGTGTTAATTGTTATTAGGAGTCAATTAGTATTTTTGAGATAATTTCGGGTTTTATAATTTAATCTTAGCATTTTTAGCTTTATTAATTAGGAAATTGAATAAATAGAAAAGAACAAAAATAGAAGAAAACCGGATTGGGACTTTTCTTCAAATTTAAACCACAAGCCCAAAAGAAACAAACCCATACCGGGTCAACCCGACCCGGTCCGCCCCATAACCCCAAAGATCCAACTCCCCCTCTTCATTTTTCATTTTTTCATTTTTCCCAAAACAAAAAAACCCCCAAACCCTAAAAACACCTATCCGCCCCCTCCCTCTCTTCTTCTCCAAAACTCCAAAACACACACATCCATGGCAGCTCGCCCATGGCTGCCATCATCCAAATACAGCCATATCGCCTCAAACAACCCCAACACCACCCCTTCATCGAGTTTCATCTTCGTCGTCGAGCTCCATCGAGCTTCGTCTTCGTCGTCATGCTCGAGCTCCCATGACGGCTTTCTTTCTCGACGACCAACTTCAACCATCCAACCAACCCCCTGCTTCATCGTCCCCAAACGACCTCACATCCATGGTTGCCTTTCTGCATCTCCTTCCCCATCGTTCCTACGTCAAGCAACACTGCTGCTGCTGGTGTCGCTTCACTCATCGACGACCAACAGCCATGGATGTGAGGTCTTCATCGTTACCACCTTCCAGCTCCACCATCGTCCAACGACCATCTCCATCGACGACCTCCCCCTTTCGCTTCGTTTTCACGTCGCAACACACATACACACACACAGCTCCACAGTCTGTCGACGCCTCGCGTCCAAACGATCACCATCTCCATCTCCGAGCAGCCATGAACGAGCGACGCAACAACAGTCAGTCCATCGAGTTGCACTCAGCTGAACGAACCAGTGTGCTTCGTCCAGTTTTTGTCATCTCCAAACACCCCTCCATCGAGCTTCGTCTATATTTAAGTTTCCGGGAAGATTCGAGTTATTTTGGTGCGATAATTGTTTCCGGGCAGATTTGTTTCCGTTCGAGTTCGTCGTTGTTCCGATCCGGTTAGTTGGTTTAAGTTTCATTTCTGTCCGTATTTTGTTTTGATATTCTCGGATCTGAAATTAGTAGATGTTTGACTCTTGTTTTTGTTTGTGTTTATCGTTTCTTGATTATTGCTTCAGGTTGTTTCATTTGTTATTGTTTATTTTTTTAATAAAGAAACTGTTAGTTTAATTATAATGTCGTTAGATTTAAGTTGAAGTTCAATTAATTATTTCTTCAGTTTGTTTTTATTCGTTTAAAAGGATTTAGTTTTAATATAGAAATATGTCGGTTTGATAACTTGAATCCTTCGTCTTGACTGTAATATTGTTAGATCTAGTTTGAGGATCAATTGGTTATTTAGTTTAGTGATTTGAATCTGTTTATTTGTTCCGTTTAAGCTTAACTTGAATTGAAAAAAAATTGAATATGTTTGTTTGTTATTGTTGTTGAATCTGAAAATAGGATGTTGTTTAAAAATATTGTTCAGTTAAAATAATTTCGGTTGTTTCTTTGTTGTTCGTCGTTTAATTTGAATTTGTTGATTGAATTTGATTAAGGATTGGTTATAGCTGCTATATTTTGGTTAATTGATTAGGTGAATTGGTTGTAGCTGTTAATTGGATTTTAGTTTTTAGATAATGTTTGAAGTTTGAACAGATTTTTGAATCAGGGCAGCAACAGTAGTTTTAGGGGTAATACGAGAATTAATCAATTGCAGATTTATTTAATTTGAAGTGCTCCGTCTACTAGGCATTAATAGTATTAAAATATTATAGTGGGGGACAAGACATATGGTAGTGGGGGATAAGGCATAATGATGTAAAGTAAAAAGAGGGGGTTAATGATGATGTCTTATTTGACCATTCAAAAAGAGGGGAACCGTGGGGTCCGTATTGACTACTTTTACTTAAGTAAAAATCAGACATAATATAGGTAATAATAAAAGGTTAAAAGTTATACATAGTAGAAGAATATTGGAAAAAAAAAGGAGGGAAAAAGAAAAAGGTAGTCTTGCTTAGGGTATAAGAGGACTCATTTAACACTTGAAAAAAAGAAGAAGAAGAATAGAGAGAGAGAGAGAGAGAGAACAAAAACTGGAAAAAAAAAAAATCTTCTACTTTCCTTCATTGTTTGAAATCAACATTAATTGCTAATGTTTTCATCGAAGCTTGAAGCTTCTTTCTTGAGCTACTACTCCACCGGTTTGCAAACTCTGTTACTGGTCTATTCCTGTGTTGCTGGACTGTTTGTTGTTGTGTTGTATTGTTACTACTGCTGCTGATTCTCATCTTCCTCTTCTCTTGTATTCAATACCAGGTACATGGCTGTAACCTTGTCGATATTGTAAGCTGGAAAATGTGAAAGCATGAATACACATGAAGAATGGAACTCTGAAGTTTTAATTTCGCTTTTTCTTCGTCTCTTTTACTGATTGTATTTAGGCTATTTCATGTA